CCTGTGAGTCCTTCCTTCTCATTAGGTGGCCAAAATATTTGCGTTTCCTCTGACCTTCTAAAGAACAGCCAGGGTTGATTTTTTCTCATACTTCATTCCTTTTCCCCAGTCAAAAGATTTTGTATCCAATTGGCATCTGACAGGAAATACGAACAAAAATGAGAGAAAATTTTCTGCTCAGCATTGAGAAAGTGAGCAAGGAAAATGCTTCCCTACTAGGAAGTGTGTGTGTCCGTGTATGAATGATGCAGGTAATGTGTGTGGGTGCATATGTATGTGAGAAAGTAGCCACTTTGGACTCTGGCCAAGCCCATTGGGAAATGTCCAAGGCAATCTAGCTCATTGGTCAGGAAAGATTCCCCACCCATTTTGGGTGCTGCCACCCAGTCCTTGTACCCACAGTCAACAAACAGTTACAGGCGTGGTCTGTTTCAGTTGCTCTTCTTCATCACACCTGAAATGGTTGATGGTGGGAGAAGATGACCCACTGCCTGTGGGGCCAGGATGCATGTCACAGCAGCTGCTGCTGCTACCACTCCCTCCCCTATGGAAGATCAGGTGAGTGGCCCCTCCAGAGAGGTGCTCAGGCCAAAACACGACCCTTACAGGGGTTCATCTTGGAGAGTGACACTGTGAGGTTCTCTTCCCAGGACAGGCCATCCTCAAATGGCCGCCGTTTGGGAAAGGACCCTCCAAGATGCACCATTCAGGCCTGGGTGACTCTCCAGAGAGGCTGCCTAACTGAGCTCTCTTCTGGGGGACTGGGAATCATGCAGGCACCTTTTCCAGAGAAGTGCGCCATGTGTTTTGTGTGGCCAACGAAGTGCTCCAAAGCAGGAGGTTGGGCAGGCAGGCAAATGTGGGGCAGGCAGCCTCTCCAAAGCGTCCATGTGTCTGATCTCTCCCTGGGAGCTCTCTCCCAAGGCAAGGGATCAGCTGCATGGCCCTTCTGAAGAACGTGCCCATCAGATCGCTCCCTTTGGGAGAGGGCTCAGGGTGAGAAATGGGCACGTTGGAGCTGGCTGTGGTGGCAGAGCTGGCCAAGAGGCTGGACCACCCAGTCTCCTGCTGTGGTATCTGGGCAGGGCTGGTGTGACGACCTGCCCCCTCTCCCAGCAAGCCTGAGCAAGGGTTTGACTCTGCCTCAGATTCGGCTCCGGGTACGGTCTCTCCTGTTGTAAGTATAGAGGGGGTGTGCATGCATTGGGCAAGAGCTGCCCTGCCTCTTTGTGCCTGTGACTGGGCTTCCCCCAGTGATGACACTGGGCCTCTGGGTCTGCTGCTTCAGGGAGGCGGAAGTCAGGGAGACTTCCCATTTCAATGCCCCCCGCTGCCCCCCCGAGGCTGTAGTTCTTCTCTGTTCCCACGGCCGGCCGGGTGGTCTGGTCCCCCTATCTGCCCTTGGGCTAATCTCCCCCTCTGGAATTTCCCACTGGGTCTCAAGACCTTGAATTGCAGCTGGAGCCTGAACTGTTTCATGAACAGTCTCATCTGAGTAACTGGTATAGTGAGCATGGGAAGCCAAGAGGGTGCCCAAAATTTGACAGGATGCACATGGGTGACAGGATGACCATTGGGTGACAGCATAGACAATAGAGTGGGCCATTGGGAATGTTACTATGTTGACCTTTGTTTCTGCAGGTTTTGCTTACTGGATCAGCCTGCAGTTACGGCCAAAGAGCGTTAAAGAGAATAAGGCTTGGCTTGGGAGTGACTTTAACGCATTGGGACGTCCCCATATGTACTCTGGAGTCACTGGGTCAGGATGACTTTGAGGAATTTTTTTAATAGATGCTAATGTCATACAATGGAACATTAATAATCAATGTCATACATATGGAACATTTCTATTTCTGTTTTACAGGCAAAGGGGCTGTTATGAAGGTTTTGCTAGGAGCGACTAGAAACAGACTGAAATAGCTGTTCTTCTTGACCAGATGTTTAAGAGGCTCCAGAAGGGGTGGGAGAGCAAATCCTGAGCATGTCGTTTGGACTATATTCACTGTACCAGGTCTCAATCTTACGCTTTCTTTTTCGGCAAATTGCTCAGCTGTGGACGCTTTCACTGCTCCCCCTTCACTGCAGTGGAGGTGGCAACTTGCCCACATTTTTGCATTTATGCATTCATCCATGGGGCTGCCCCTTCCATGGCAATGTAGAAGAAACTGTGCATTTGGTCTAGTTCTATGGGCCTCTCTGAAGCCTTGTACCAAGAAAAGATTGCTGGATAGGAGATGTGAGAGATGGGACTATGTTCAGCCGTGTCTCAGGTGGGTTGGATGTTGTAGAGCTGATCCTGGCATCAGACAACAAGACAAACTGTGATGGTAAGGAGAAACCATAGAGCAAAACTTTGGGTCTTGTTGTGGTTTTTAAAGATCAGACTTATGTTAGTGAAATACTATAACCAGGGCTTTTTTTGTCATAGAACGCACCGGAACAGCGTTCTGGCACCCTTTTTTCCAATGGATTTTACGAAGTGATTTTGAATCGTAGCAGATCAGCAGCAAACACCATTAACATAGTGCCTGCTGGCTGCTTTTGTGTCTGCTATCTGCTGATAGTGAGGCTTGGGATGCTGCTCTGCTGCTCGGCTTGGGATTGGTGTGTGTGGTTGTGCGCTTACTGCCGGCGACGTGAGTTCCGGCACCTTTTTTTTTTTTTTTTACAAAAAAAGCACTGACTATAACTAGGTTTGAACAACGCAACAGATCAGCAAAGGTAAAATGCCAACCCTGGCTTGCTGTGCTTTTATATGACATGAGAAGTCATGGTGAATTTTTATGGCTGAAACCATAGAGAGATTCAGTGGTTTGCACTAAGGTTTCCATGCTTCACCACAGCTTCTTTTGCCGTTCAGTCTCAAGAGCTCTAGTTTACCGTTGGTGGTGATGAAATACCATAGAGCCTCATGGAAAGAGCAGCAATGGAATAGGCTGCTCTAGGCTTCTGATATCTGCTATCCCAGCTTTCTAGAAACACACTTCTGTAATCACTCCCTTTTTTCCTATTGGCTGAACCATGTGCCCATAACCCTGTTTATCAGGGAGAAGGTGAGTGAATGCATGGAAGGAGAAGGGGGAATTGTAGCAAAATTGTCTATTTTATTCTAATTAAAGCTTTCAGGGTTGGGATGGCTAGGGAGTGTTACAGAGAGGCAGGTACACTAGGGAGGAGGAGGAGGAGGAGAACCTGTCTCTGGACCTTTGCAGGTCAGTCAGGAAGAGGCAGCTGAAGGCCATAGCAAACAATGCAGTGTGGAATGGACTGCTGGTATGAGTGGCGAGAATGGGAGGATGAAGTGTTGCCATGGGATCCATACGACCATCAGACTGTAGGCTGAGGCAGAAATCTGCACACTGTGGAACCAGTAGAGCATTGCTTCCTGTGACGTGTGAACCCACCCACTCTTTGTTTGTTGAGAGTAGCCTTTGGACAAACAGCTTTTCACCTGCTGCAAAAATTCTTTGGCATTGACATCTTGGCTGCGTCCTGGTCTTCAAGTCCCAGACCAGAAGGGACCATCTCAAGACCTGAAGGTCTGTTCTTTGGGGCAGCTGAGAAGTTCTGCTGAACTCTGCATCCTTTCAATGAGACCAAGACCAGAGGGACGACATTGATTCTTGCCCTCTGTGTCATTCTAGAAGAACTAATTGAAGTGGCATTAAGAGAGGAGAAACTGGAAGGCATCTTTTCACAGGCAAGGTCCCCAGCTGTTCTTGCTCCTCCTCCTTTTTCTCATGATCCCACCACTCGCTTGGTAGGCAGAAAGCACGCAGGCCCTGGCATCTGTGGCTCCCCCCCCCCCCCCGCCATGGCTGTCATCTGGGCCAGAGCAAGGGACCCAGCAGAGAAGCAAGCAGTTTGCAATAGAAAACAGAAGGAAGGAATCAGGGGCTGGGGGGCGGTGTGCTTGCCAGTGAGGTCATGCTGGGCTGCGGGTCCTTGGGGGGAGCCCAGCCATTTTTACGCTTAATGCAGTCTGCAGGCCTTGCCAGGCACGTGCGGGGCTATGGATGCACATTCTGTTGTTATTATTTTAAAGACGTATTTCTTCAGGCACTCTTCTGCACCCAAGTGTAGCTAACTGTAGCCAAGGACACATTCCCATGCGCGTGAAGACCGAAAAAAAGCCTGCAACTCTCCACATGCCCCAGCCAGTGTGGTTCAGCGTCAGAGCAGTTGAAGCAACCTCTACATTATTGCTGTAGGATGATGGTGCTATGAGAAGTGGTTTTAGAAAACTGAGTACAGAACTGTGCATGCTGAGAGTATTGTTTTGTTTGGTAAACACCTTTATTTATTTATTTATTAGGATATATCTATCCTGTCCAATACAAAATGTCTCTGGGTGGCTTGCAGAGTGATAAATATCCAATAAATACAATAGCAAGGTAAAATGCCACTCGGGATAAATAAAATCTGAATTAAAATTTTAAACTTTAAATACTGGGTGAATAAAACGGTTTTAAACCTGGCGCCAAAAAGCATATAATGTTGGGGAGTGCATTTCTGTTTGTTTGCTTGTTTTCTGCACACAACAGGATTGTAGACACAGTTGTAAAGCTTGCATGGCTAGAGGTGGGGATGATGGAGAAGTGTGAACTTTGCAACTGACAAAATGTACAGGACAGTCTAAAGCATCCCCATTAAGACTGGTCCAAGGTCTAAAGTTACCTTGCTGCACCAGCACATCTGATCCAGCAGCGTCTTTCCATCTGGTCCCCCCTGCTTTTGCTTACAGCCCTCCAAATGTGGTTGTGCTACAGCACCATTGACCACCACCTTGGCAGGGGCTAGTGGTGTATCGACCACTACCCCACTGCCCAGCAACATCTGACATTCTGGCAGTTCCCACCCCTGCTCTAAAGCAAGCCACTTGAACTAAACTAAAGTTATTTAGGAGAAGAGAAGGCACTCAACACACTTATATCTATTAACCATTATTCTTTATTAGACCTCACAGAGGTGTAAACTATACATACAAATACATTAGAAAGATACCCTCTTACAGTAATGTTTCACATTTTGGACTGGATCCTAAGAGGGTTGCAAACATTTCAGTACATTCTACGAACCAAAGGTTGCTGTAGCCTTTACAGTGTGACCAAGCTCCTTTTAAAAACTGCAATCAATGAGATTTAGAAAGACAAACATACAAACAAACAAACAAACAATGAAAATTAGATGGCTAGCTCTTGAGATCTTTTGGACCTATTGTGGTAAATGCTTTAAAAGAGCCTTTTGAGAAGCGTGAGTACACTATTTTTTAATGGAACAATGTTTACCAGGTTAGACAGTTTGCATGGACTGGGGAACATGATCTTGGTGGTTCTGGATGACTTGTGAAATAGCAAAATCAATCTTCCTTTTTGTACGCATCAAACCCTTTACTGCTTGGATGTCCTGTGTGTCCATGGAAAGCCAACAAGTGCTAAATGGGGAGAATAATAGGATAGAGTGGCATTTTTGGAGTATTTGGCATGGGCATGGGACAGGGAGTTCTGCAACAAATTCATGTTACATACACAGTATGAAATATTATTTACTTGTTATCAAGTCACGATAGATTGCATTTTGAATGAATACAAAGAACAGAAAGTGTGGAAATTCAAATGTTGACAGCCCAATCCTCAAAGCGTTGTGCTGGTGCATGGCCCATATACCTCAGTAGGATGTGCTCCACAAAAGTGCTTTGACAATTATGGACTTAGGAAAAAAGAAAGCTGACATGGTGTTTTTCTTTATATTGTTGGAACTTAATTGCTAGAACTAATTGTTTTCAATTGTCAATTTTGCAGAAATTCAGGGCCCACATAAAAACTTAAAATAGCTTCTAATGCCTTATATTGCTCATACTCTCGATTTAAGGACATGGGTCAGCTCACTGTTTTTGTGCAAATGACCTAGGGAATATTACTGATATTAATCTCAACATTTAGCACTTTAGTAGCTAAAAATAATATTTGTGAGCTAAGTGGCTACTTGTGACATTCTCTGTTTTTATTTGCTATGGCTGCTCATGTATCAGCCTGTCCTCAGTTTCTCTAGGGAACTTCTGCTGGACATTTGCAGAAAGATATTGGGCAGAGGCAGGTGATAGGGGGAATTTACATTCAGATGCATTAGCAGAACTTCTAAGGATGAATCAATATAAAGCATGTGTAACCTTCAAAGCCTCCCAGAACTATGTAAAACACACCACCACAGTCTCTCTCTCTCTCTCTTAAAGAAACAGAATATGTCATTTATCCTCAAGGAATCCTTTTTGTGGCTGGGAAAACCTATTCAGGAAAAAAAATGCTGTAATGCAGCAGCTGGTCACTTCAGTTGCTCCTTGGTTTTCATCAATGGAATTGGTCAGAAATACATCAGTCACTGTGTCATACCTCAAAGTAAAAGTTGTTCTCATTTACTGTATAGTGTAAGGAAGCTTAAGGCTCCGGTCCTCAATGGGGCTTGTGCCGGCGGAGCGCTTTGGGGATTGGGCTGCAAGTGGAAATAAACCTAAATTACAACACAGTTTTGATAGGCTGTTTACAACAGGAATTTAAGATAATGGATTGATTAGACAAAAGCAGCAACAATATTTAAGGCGTACAAATTCACTTACATACACAGAGTTTCTTCTGCCCCACCATGCTATACAAAACCTGTGCTAACACAGAAATGTTCGAAGTGGCATACTGCCTGTATGCTACCCACTAAATTTAATTCTGTGTTATCAAATTACAGTTCATAAATTAACAGCAATGGAGCATTGCATTGGCTCTGAGGGTAAAAACTGAACACACAAAACCCACATAAGCATGCAGAATTTGTAGACTGCACCCCACAGACCCAATGCAACGGGATTCCCCATTGCCATTTATGACCATTCAAGTTCTGAGAACTCAAAGGAAGTTTTCCCTTGCCATTCCTGGTGTTGGGAGAGTATCAAATACGGGTGTGGTGGGTTACAGCTCAGCCAAAGGCCTGCTTCATGATCTTTCGTGGATTGGGGAAATGAATTGAAGAGCATTGGGAATCACAGAAGAGAACAGGGGCCTTCAGTGGAATATGTGTGGATGTCCATTAAGACTTGAGATAATCTGTCAGTGCTGCCAAGAGGCTGTTGGTACTGACATCAATCCATTTGAGTAATCCATTCTTTTGCTGTTAAGAGGGGCAATCCAGCTCATCACTAAATATTTTGGCTTTACTGTGTTGTCACGACCTTTTCACACATTAGGGCTGTGTGTGTTTCTTTGTATGCATTTTAAAGAGAGGTATAGCTAAAAAATTAATTGTGAATAAAATAAACTTCTTTTTGCACACCCCGGTATACTTGTCCAGGTTCCAGGATTGGCTGTGGTTCCTGGTCATGTATACACCCTTTGGGAAACCTGTATTTTCGGGAAAAGATTGCCTTATATTAAAAGTGAAAGGCCTTTAACTGTTAATTGTTTCACTTTCCTAACGGAATTAGGATGATGCTTGGCTTCATGCCAAGCATATGTTGCCTAGTTCTGTATGCTAGTTGAGCATAACATATGCCCTTGCTTTTAAGGTATTTTTTTCAGCAAAAGCATCTTATTTAGTAATCACTTTAAAATGAGCAGACTTACTTAGCAAAGCGCCACATTACTGAGGAGCAGCAAATGAGAAACAATTTATCCTTTCCAATTAGGAATGCATCAACCAACCGTTCACACATGAATTCAATTATTTCTTTTACAGTGTTTTTAATCTCTCTTTAATGATGGTCTTGTTCATGCTTTCCAGTGCAGTCTATAAATCAGGTAGTCTGAGCACTATGATTTAAGAGTATTGGTAGCCAGTCCTCAGTAAACTTATTTGGAAGGTCCCTTCATATTGGTGGCATTTAAACTTGAAGGAAGGATGATACCCTTCTATTCTAATTTTACGTTCAGTTGTAGTAGCGAATAAGTGGCCAGAACGGTTGGTGTGGAGTAGCTGAGCCCATTTTACTATTTGGGAAGGAAATGGATTCAGGAACTTAGGACAGTGCTATAGGATAGTGACTGGGATCCTTACATGGGCCATGTCCTCAGGCCTACCAGCTGTTCAAGTGCAGTAGCTACAGACCTTGAATATTGCTCCAAGGAGGCTCCAGACAGTATGTTTAAAGCATGCCTGCAGCCTTTTTGGGTGGTGGGCATGGGTAAACTAAAGTAATTGTAATCCCATTCCTTGCATATCATGACTGGGCAATTGGAGGTCCTGCAGATGTTGCTTGACTCCCTCCCATCAACTTCAGCCAGCACAGCCAATGGTCACAGATGATGGAAAAAGAGGTTCAACAACAGCTGGAGGACCAAAAGTCCCCCATCCTTCCTCAGAATGGAAGGGTCTGGGGAGGGTACTCTTGCAGAGAGCATTGTCAAGTTTTAATTTGATAGTTTGATTTTTCCACAATAGAATCAGATAGTTTGATTTTTTTCCACAATAGAATCAAATGGCACTGGTAGGCAGAAAAGGAATTTGCATGCCCACGCTGAGTGTTGCCACAGGGAATCTAATAGATGGCTATGGTGGCAGCATAACCAGGATTACTGATGAGCACTAACAAAGGAAACACATATTATGGAAAGGTTAGTTGCAATTAGTTTACAAATATAAGGCTCTATTGATGCATCCCAATTAAACGAGCAAGAAGGCAAGATTGGTTTGCCCTACTGGAAATAAATAAGTCAAGGGCTTACATGTGAGAAGCATAGATCTTGTGGTTACATTGCAGGTTAAATATTGTAGAAGAAAAATATATATGTATATATGCATTCTTAATGCAACCGGTATGAGACTGGGTACAAATTGCTGGGTTCCCCACCCCACCCCGCCAGTGACTTGAAGGTGGCATGATAGAAATATGATTGCCCAAGGGCCTATAGGTTAATTATTCCTTATCCCAGTATGGTCTCTGTCCAAACAAGGTTACTGTAGGTATTGGGGTTATGCATGTGAAAAAGAATGAATGTTTGTCTATGCCAGGGCTTAATGGCAGAGCATATACTCTGCATGCGGGTTCAGCTAGTGGAAGCTGCAGCTACAAGGATCATGTAGTAGGGAAAGACCATCAGCTGAGACCCTGGCAAGCAAATGCTAGTCAAATACAACAGTTTTGGGCTGGATGAATCAAGAGGCTGACTTGTTGCTTTTAAAATTTTGTATTTTATTTTCATTCAGACCCTTCTCTTCCTTCCAAATATTGTCTGGGAAGGAATGATGAAGAGACCTCAAGAGCCTTTTTTAGAATTTACAAGAATATGCTTGGAAAGCTGAAACCACTTTGGAAATCAGCAAAGTCTCACTGTGCTTCCAAAACATGGTTGACTACAGAATGTCCTGCCCTGGCCGGCAAGTCCTTTTCTAAAGTTGAAGGATGCTGCATCATCTCTCCGAGGCAGGTTTAGCCAGGTGCCTCCTGTTACTGACCCCCATCTAGTGGGACAGAACAATAAAGATGTGTCTCTGTGGGCAGTGATATTTCTTTCATCCTGCCTTCAAGATTATAAAAACGATTACTCCTGAATCAGTTAAAGCTTGGTTGTGGCTAAGGCTGCAATCTTATATCTGTGTAATCCAAGGTACGCCCCGCTGAACTCACTGGGTCTTAGCTATGACAATACATGCCTAGGACTGCCCCGTGAATCACACTGAAAGAACAGGACTCCAGTGAGTTGTGCTTCTAGTCACAATTAACTTGAACTGGATCGGGGCCACTATTTGTACCTAGTCTCAGTCTTCCTAGGGAAATGAAAACATTGCCTAGTTTTGGCTTGCAGAGTGGTATCTCTAAACTGTATTATATGTAGTCAAGTTTCAGATATTCTTATAACCTCCTTCATGTAAGAGTCAAACAGAAAAAAAATGTACAAAAGATATTGTGTTTGAGCAATGATAATCCTTGTAAAATATTGCAATATTGTGGTAAACAAAGACGTCTATGGCAGGATTAAAATGAATACAGGTTTGATGTACATGAGTTACCAAGTGCTGTTGATATATCTGAAGTAAATGTGAAGAAAAATCATCAATGAAATTTGTTATGTATTAAATAGCACAAAAAATACCAGACAAATAAAAATTAAAATCCTAATCCTTCTTTTAAAAATAATCGCTAAATGCACAAGCATTAAAAAAACCCAATTGAAACCAGAACAATGTAACCTCTGTGTGGATAACCTTTAAAATATATGGCATAATTGTTTGAACCAGAGTGGTATTTTTAAAAGAGGAATCAGTGGTATATATTGTTCTTTAATAAATTATTACAATTCATTTTCAGACTAAAAGTAGTTTAAAAACACATTAAATAGGCTGATTATACTGTAATTAGAACTTTTCTCCTCTATCTAGCTTCTAAATTCAAAGAATCTCTTACCGTGCAATCCTATGCGTGTTAAGACAGAAAATCCAATAAAAATTGCAATTTTCGACATAACACTACTTCCCAGTATGGCTGGAGTGATACTAGGAATTGGAGGACATTTTTCTGTCTGTGTATGCACAGGACTGTGCTATAATGGGCTTAATTGTCAGCTCCACCCCAGATGTAAGTTTTGCACATTTTGATGTTTGCAAAAACAATATCATTTTTAAAAAAAGAAGAACCACATACACAGGCTCAATGCTTCTGTGCGCACACAATTGTGCCTTCACAGAACGTTAGCCATTTATTTCCAACCCTTTTTCAAAAACTAGAGCTATTCCCTAGAACCATTTCTGGATGATTTTCTCCTTAAGGCAGGGTGTTCGGGCAGTTTTAGCTGTGATTTGCATGCAAGCCATTCTCTCCGAAATGGCCTCCTTGATGTTAAGGAGGAATTTGCAAGCTACAGACAGATACAATAAGCTCAGTGACTTGTGTCCACCCAAGGAGATCCACGCATATCAGCAGGCTTCTCTGGGCAGATCACTCTCTGGATTGGGAAATGTGGGCAGAAAATGCATGCTAAAGGCTTCAATCCTATACGCACTATCTTGAGTAAGGCCCACTGGATCCAGTGGGGTGTACTTCTGGGCAGGTATGCACAGGATGGTGCTATAAGTGTCCATGCCATCTCGCTGCCCTGCTGTGCTTTAGATACTCATTTAAATTTACACTGCTATTCACATTTGGTGCAACTAGCCAGCCTCTTAAAGTGCAATTAACATTGGATTGGGAAGTTTATTATGCTGGGCTGGGGACTAACTTAATTAGGGCATTTTCACAGGTGAGCCTGAGGTCAATTTTTGTTCCTCCTGACCCATCTCACAGATATAAAACCAACACTACCTCCAAATATGCCTCTTTTTAAAAGACATTCTTCTGTGCTTTGTTAACAACATTCACATGTGCACATGAATGGCACAAGTAAGGCTCAAGGGTGCTTTTATCGCCACCTGTGAAAATGCTGCATGGCATTGATGCTGGTACTGAAAACTGGTGATTTCCCTCTGAATGTAAACCTGAACTCTGACAAATGCTCCGCTTATCTATATCAAGGCAGGATTTAACTCTTTCATGAAACTGTGTAATAGCTACCTCATTCTTGTGCAACAACAGATGAAGCATTTAGCAATTAGAGTATTGCACCATGATCCAGAGTTCCATGCACACATTTTGTGACAAATGCAGGATTGTACCATGTATATAATGGAAGGAGAGCTCTTGAGGAGCCTTGGGTTGTTCTCTGGCACACCCGTGTGCATGCTGGCATGGCTTATTTATGAATAATATACTGTATAAAAGCTGCTGCCCTGAAACACTAATTCATTCCAATGGGGCTAGACCAGTACTCCTTGTGTAAGACCCATTGAAACAAATGGAAGTTAGACTGCAGCAGTACTTGGTACTTGGTAGTACTCTCTTGCTTGCTGGTATGCTTTATGTAATATCAGCATTCATTTTGAATTTGTTATTTTCTTTCTCACATATGAGTGAACTACTAATTTAATGGATATTTCTCCCTTTTTAATGACAAAAAGTTGAAAGGTTATGGCTAAACCTCTATTTTAACAAGCAAACTCTTGATATTTGCCATTTTCTTATCTTAAAAATAAGCATATGGGTTTTTTTTTAAAAAAAGAATGTAGTCCTTTCTTAACAAACAAAACAATAGCACCACTTTGGCATTGCTGACCAACCAGTAAAAGGAAAAGCAAAACTTTGCTATTTCATTATTTTTTTCCTGAACCTCCATTTGTGAAGCTCTCACTCTTAAAAATGGAGCCCCCTTGAATACAGCAGAAGACTTCTTATGTATATACATTCTTAGGTTCCAGCTATCATCCAAAGATATGTATAAACTACTGCTAAGTACAAATAAAGTTTAAGTCCTTGTAGAGGGCCAGGCCAAAGCATCTGCAGCACCTGGGTCCATTCTGCATGAAAACTTAACCTAGAAGGTGCAGTGAGAACCTGTGAATGGTCTCTTGAATGTAAGCTCCACTGCATCATTAATTCCTTCTAGGTATGGATAGGATTGCAACGTTTGTCCTACTCAGTTCATTGAGGTTTACCTACAGGAAAATGTATGGAAGGTTGCAATCTTAAATTCACTTGTGTGCCTGTAAAACAACTGAAGCAAGTGGGACTTACTGGCATGCAAGTAATTGTAGGACTGTCTAAAATGATATTGGGTTATTCTGTTTCTAACCTAGGAATGTCTCCTTACTGTAGTCCCTGCTAAATATTAGAAGAAATTCCCTAATAGTATCAGCTGTTTGACAATGAAATGAACTGCCTCAGGAGGTGACAGGCTCATCTCTATTTTAGCAAAACCTGGACGCCAGTTTATTGATTGATTGATTTGATTTGTAACATGACTTTCTTCCAAAATGGCACTCAGGCTAGCTGCATCCTACACAGAGCCAGAGGCTGGTCTAGGCCAGCTCCTAGCCTTCTTCCAACATGCTGATTCTAAGGTAACATTGTCTGACATGAACTGCAGCTTGGTGCAGCAGTTACTTGCCTCTGATGCAGGCTAGAGATAGAGTTCTTTTTCATGTAACAGTATAAATAAGGCATTACAGTATACTAGGATGAATTCTGCTATTTTTGGGAGGCGGCTGACAGTTCCATCTGTGACAGGAGTTACACAATCAGCAGAAGCATGTGGCAAAATTCTGGCAGGACAGCTTTATTTAGGTTGCTGGTAGGGCTTCTCATTTGAGAAACACCCTGGACTCAGAAAAGGAGCGAGTCAGGGTAAAGGTTAAGCTAAAATTATCACCTGTGATTGTAATCTTGCTATGTGCAAGATCTTGCTATCACAAGATCTTGTGATCTTGCTATGTGCAGGGAGTTTTGTATGTACAGGTAAAGGACTATTTCAGACCTTTACCTAAAGTAGAGGTACTTAGTATAAAACTGCAGTTGCTCTCCTGTCCTGAAGCTACCTGGGCATTGTGAACAACATGTTGAGCCTGCATTGTTTTTAATTGTGTTCTTAATCTTGCATATTTACTTTTTCAGGCTGCTTTTGTTGTATTTGGTTTGTATTTTTTATGACTTGCTATGAACCCCCTAGAGAGCTTTGGTTATTGGGCAGTATAGAAATGAAAATAGCAACAATAATAAATATGTCGTAGTACAATACAGCATGAACTGTACATTATGATTCTTCTGATTGTTGCTCAGTGCTGTGTGATCACTCCGAGATGTTTAGCATATATTTTGGAAGTGGTTTTATATGACAGAGCAGAAAAGGCTTGGAGAAAGGACTCAGAAGCAACTTTCTTCCCCTGGAACTGGGCTCATTGGACCAGTTGGCACCAGAGCTCTGTGGCAGATTGTCTGCAGAAGGGTTTGGAAGCTTTCAGGGAAGGGTTTTAAAAATAATTAAGCTTGGGAGCCATTGCATTATGAGGCGATCTCATGCTGCAGGGAGATGGGCGTGAATAACAGGATTAAGTCGGTGGAGCTGATGGGGTGGCTGTTTCTCATCCATGGAGTTGGCAGCATTGATTGGGTGGGAGCAGCAAATGCAATGGGTCCTGTCCACATGCAAACCCCTTTAGCCCAGAAGCACATCTCATGGAAGCAGAACCCAAAATGATGGCACATGGTGCTAAGGGGGAACTTGGACCACTTTGATTCCACGGAATTCTGCTGGCTATGTGCGGTCACTGCAGCCCCATTCTTTAAGCAAACAAAGGGCTGCAGCCTCCACAACTCTGTCAGTTCCAGCAGCCTTTTGTGGTTGGCCCGCTTGTTGCTCGGTTCAGTTGAGAAACGCCGCAGGTCAAAGATCCCTGCGCTGGTGCGCGGCCATAACTGGCATTGTTTCAAAGGCACCCAGAGCTGTTCTGAAACTGCCATTATCCAGGATGCTCATATTTAGATACTGGATTAATTGGAAACCTTAAAATGCATATGTTTAATAAAACTTTCCCTTTAATCTTTGGCTTAATTTCCACCCCACTCCAAGTGTATTAGTTTGCTTTTACTTCTTACAGTTTTGGCCAGACCTTTCCATAAAACAAACTAGAAAATAGCACCATTGTACTATGAAACAGTTGTACATACTGTAGATTATATGTGTATTATTGATATGCTAAATTTCTACATGCTGAACTATATGGAGGAAAACATGTATTTATATTGTTGCACAATAACTCATTACCTGAAAGAATCACTGAGAATTTAGGATTGTTTATGCATTGTCTCAGCAGATACTAAACAAAAGTCAATGCTATTGTCCATGTTACATTTATCTGTATGCTCATGTGTTAGAGGAGGAAAAAGCTTTGTCTTGAAAACCGGTTGTCCTGATTGAGCAGGTTGTGGCAACTGTGAGGCTCCCAGGCACATATGAAGCTCCAGTGTGTGCAGGCTGCTCCATTCACTTCAGTGGCTGAAGCAGCTTTGCAATGTAAATAGCAGCTTCCTCCATGGAAGTCAATGGAGCTTCCCACTATCAGTGGGGCTCTGTGTGTTTAGCGGAGCACATAAGGATCTCTGGGATGAAAGCATGCAACTTTTATCCCGTCAGAATGCCACTGGCAAAATTAATGTATTACTTTACTGCTGCCACTACTAGGAAAGTCAAACTGTGCAAATATGGAAGGGGCAAACAAACAATGTTATCAGACACTGCAAGACAAACAGTCTGTTGCTTATATGGAAGTGCAAATATTAAAAAATAAAATAAAATAAAAAAACGCCAAAACCCTGCTTTGACAAGGCTGGGGAATGATTCCAACAGCAGGGTTCATAAGTTAATTTAGTGCAATTGGATCCATCAAAGGCCTGTACATTTGCGGGCTTTTGAGGGGCACAGGATTTCTAAGTATATGTGTGTGGGTGTCTATGCAGGACATTTATAGCAGGTGAACCATTAGAATAGCAATCAACCAGCCTCAGAAACATTATAGCACTGAGATGGTTTCTATTGGAATGTTTACTTGCATTGTTCATTGGAAGAATGCCCATTAGTGGAGATTTCATCAAGCTTATTGAACTCTAACGTTTTGTCCAATGTTTGACAATTTATTTACAGTAAAGTATCCTGCAGATGGCACGTTCATTCTTCACTCTTATGGATCATATTTCCTTACATTCTGTAGTTCCTGTTTCCTGTGTTGCCTCTACTTGTGTTCTTCAAATGCACTTCCTGAAAACGAAAGAAAAAAATTATGGAGTTGTTTAACATGTTTCTGCCATCATGACTGAGTTCAGAAAACACAATAATCCACACACAGAGGCTGTGTGTGGGTTGTTCATAAACTGAGTTGTTATTCACATGTGGGTTGTGTTGTCTGAACAATAAACCATGGTGAACAACCCACAGTTCACAGCCCAAGAACAAACCATGGGTTCTCTTCATGAGTTGTCAGTGGGTAACAAGTCATGACTTGTTAGTGCAGCTGGGTTCAGACAACACTATAACCCATATACTAATACCAACCCACAGTTCAACAACAACTCACACTCAACCTCTGAGTGTGTGTTATTGTGTTATTTGCCCCAGTGTTCATCTTACTCAACTTTCCAACTGGACACTAGGAGGGGGAGCAGACATAGATGGATGAGAGAGGAATGCCCTGTACTGTGCCAGATTATTGGTCCATTTAGCTCTGTAATATTTACATATTGGCTTTTGCAGAAAAGGCATTTATCATGCATAATTCCTCACTCAAGATTATCCACTGTTCTTTAGATGATGTGATCCACCAAATCCACTACTGTGCATACATAGTTCTTCTGCTGAGGCATTTTTTCAGAGTAGGGAAAATGTAGTATTTAATTGTGAAAGGGAAAGAAGGTGCATTTTGATTTTTAGTATTTGCACTATTCTACTATACCACAGTGCCACCTACAGGTTAGGGAGCAGAAGAGCAAGCAAGGAAACTATTCGGGTAGTGTTCACGTGACAAAAACTAAAGGTGATACAGTGGCTTAACAGCTAATTAACAATCTCATGTAGAAAAGCTCATTGACTGGCAGAGGATCTTCAAGGTTTCAGGCAGGGCTTTCCCACCTCTATCTGGAGATGCTACGGCCTGAACTTATTTATTATACAATTTGTATTCTGCAATTAAATTAGTCTCAAGGGCTCTCTAAACTTGGGAACTTTTGCCCTCCCAACTTTCTGAAAGACATTGGCTGAATTTGTTGAAGAGTTTGAATTTAAACTGAGATCTACTACAGCATATTTCAGTCTGTGTCTCTCCAGATGTTTTTGCTTGCACAGCTGTTTTGGCCTACATCCCTTCACCATTGGCCTTTGCGTTGTCCAGCTTTTGGTAGAGGCCACCACACTACAGTCTGTACCACCCTTTTTCTCAAATGGGGGTTGAACCACTGGATTACTTTTCTGGGGGGGGTGGGGGGGATAAGATCTGCTCCTTGAATTGGGCAACCAATCCACTGTGTCTGCTCTGATGTTAGGAATAGATGGATAAGCACATTTACACATATAAGTCCATTGCATTTCCATATTAATGTTTTTTTTAAAAAATCCACAGAAAATGTTATATTTAAATATGTATTTTGAATGCATTTCCTCACAATGTATTAAGATATGAATGAAAGATTTATCATTATGGTCACCAACCAATCAGAACTTTGATACCGAAGAACAAGCGCAGCAATTAAAAACAGAAAAGGTTGAAAAGTGGGCTAACATCCCCTCTCCTTAATTCTCTGTAAAAAAGAGACCAGCGGCCCTCTCAGTGAACTATCCCTTAAGCAGAAGCATATCTTCAGAGGATCATCCTGGGAGATTTCTTAGCAGAGGGAGACGTAGTGGTTCTCTGCAGTCCCTAGACAATTTACAGTACAGAAGGACGCGATCAACAAACGCTGCCGCTTCAGCTCTACACAAACCTTTCTTCATTGGGATCTGGATAAATAATCTACTTAACTGTGCAGAAGGTGAGATACGTATTTTGAACACATTTTTGTACTTCATATGCATCGATAAACGTATTCTATGCCCAAGTACACATTTGTAAACATTTAATCCTAAAAAAATGCATTTTAAGATTTTCTGGGGCTTTCAAAGATTTACTCAGCCACCCAGGGGCCTGAGGGGAATCACCAGGTGTTTTGCAGAGTATCTCTCTCAATCTCTCTCTCTCTGTTATTTCTTGTTATTTCCTTGTTTTTATTATCTGTTTTAGCTGTTTTCAGTGTTTTATTTTCTCTGATTTTATGATATTTTATTGTACTTTTATCAACTATTTTTATAGACTGTGTAAACCCCGAGAGATTTGACTGTGGGATGGGATAGAAACGAAATAAATAAATGATGCATTCTGATATGCATTTTTAGCAAAGGACTATAATAAAACCTCAAAGAAATGTGAAATTGGAAAGATAATTGCACTCCAATGTGTTCATTTATCCAGGTTGTGTGGATCAGGTCAGTTTGTATCAGAAATTGCAGAGATAGATTTCCCACTGTGCCCAAACTTCAATATGAAAAGGTCAGAACAAAATAACAAATTTTACTAAAGGTAAAGAATTTTTTTTAGCGTGAATAGCACTAGATATAAAATTCACAATGGAATACACTAAAGTTGCATGCGTTAACTAAAACTGCACATATACCACTTACATATGGTGAAGGGACAGAAACAACTGCATATGGAACATATATTAACATAAACAGTTGGCATTTATTTATATGCATGAGTCTTAGACTGTATTGGTTGGTTTGCTTACAGTAAGTGGCAAACCATTTATTGTAAGCAAACAGTAAGTCCTTCATCAAAAATGGAACTTCAATATTTCTATAAATCTATAATAATAGAAGAGGATGTTGGTCTGTCTGTCTGTAAGTGCTAAAGTGCCACATCTGTGAAACCTAGACACCTGGCATTTGGCATGCATACTAAGAAAGCTAGCAGTGTGCACCTTGAGGTCATTGTTTGTTTGAAGCATCAGTAACTTAAATTAATTGGATCTGTGTTTGAAGCCTCCAGTACCATCTTCATTCACTAGGTGGCAGACTTCCCTAAAATACATGGCTTTGCAGCTGATGTAGTTAGAAGCCCTGCAGAAGCAGTGTACGGGACAGAGTCATATAGCAGCCCCCTCCCTCCTGCTGTGACATAGTGCTCAGGAGGATGAAGGTGGCACGTGACTCAGAGCTATAGGAATGTAACAGGGCAAGGGCCATGACTGGGTATGCCAGCAGGGATAGCTGCACTCAGGCAGGGTGGACGGGGCCACACATCTGTCTCTGACAGCTGTGCCATTTTGCTCAAAAGCTTCGCTGTATCACAATGCCTTAGGAGTGTGATACAGGAGCTGGGCAACCTGTGTCCCTCCAGGTGTTTTGACCTACAACTCCTGTCAGGCTTAGTGGGTACAGCCAATAGGGAAGGATGAGTTGCTGCCTCAAATAACTGGAAGGCCACCAGTTGACCACTGTTATAGTAAGAGTTACTCCAATCTACCTGCATAAAACTGAGCCTCTGTGCTAGTCCTATATTATATACTATACTGTATATAATATAATAGCTGGTATATGTTACAGTACATATATCATAGGAAACAAATGGCAACTCACAATAAAAAGCTGTGAGTGTGCCCAGTGCTCAACAGGATTGCTCCTGCCCTTTATAGGAGACGTGTTTTAGCACCTGCTATAGCAAAAGCGAAACTGTTCTTTCTGTGGCCTCCTCATGCTGACAGCTTCTGGGCTTTGCTATTGAAAAGGCAGCACACCACCAATGCAACTCAATACGAACAGTCAGTGAGGCTGCACATCCCAACATTCCTCTATGAAAGGATGAAAAAGCACAGGAGGCCTGTGTACCTTTGGTGATCTCTCTCTGTTTCTCATTCGTAGGGGGGAAGGGAAGGGGAAAGATGCAAGTTAATGCCATTGCTGTGATCCACCAGACTTCAGGATGGCTGAATCAGAAAACAGGCCCCAGAATCGACTACATTGCACTAGCGTTCTGCAGTGTGTGAATTCCTAGGTAAGCAAATGCATGGAAAATGAATGGTGCATGAACGACATTTGAGGCTGGTTCAGGGGCAACAGCAGCGATCCCACACGGCAATAAATGAGTAGATGAGATCTGATCATATCCTGCCTACCTTTTGTGCTTTAGGCATATCAGTGTGGCGCTGAGCACGTAGAGACCGTGCAGATTTCGGTGGTTTGACAGGAGCACAGTACATTTCCAGACGTCTCAGGTCACAGCTCTGGAAGCAGCATTCATCCACTATTCCTTTGCTTGGAGGTGGACGTCTATTGCCTCCATACCCTGCTGGTTTACCTAATAATGACACAAGTCAGTTTATAGGTAAAGGATATAACAAGAGATCGGACTATTTGGCGGCACAGAAACAAACAAACAAACAGTGCTCTAACAAGTCCTATTCATTTTGGTGAGTCTGCTCTATGTTGTCCTGATGCAACCAGAAGTATACAGTCATGTTCCCCATCCAGTAATATTAGATATCCTGTTTAGGTCAAAGAGAAGTGCCCGAAACTCAGTGGCGGATCATGGACTATGGACCTACACTTTTAACTGTAGTCATTACTCTTGAGGTTGCAGACAAATCTCAGCAGTGTAGCTGGTTCTATTGTTATCCTTATCTGGTTTCCTAACAGATGGGAATCCTCCTGAATCAGATATACCACCTGCACTTGTACCTCAAGAAACCCCATCCAGATATTACCTTGACTTGGATGAAGGCTTGTTTCTTGGTTGACATAAAATAGTTTTTACTATTTTATTACTAGAGAGGTTCTGGTCTATTGTGATCCACGAGTCCATGCAGTGGATTAAGCTATGTGTTAATTAGTAGACCTAACCAGAACTGGACCAAGACATTTCGCTGTCCAAGGTGGGACAGAGATCCATGCCCCCTCCCCAGCCAGATGTATTACCATAGTATTCAAGGAAAAGTGAGTTATTCTAGTACTCAAGGCAGAAAGGCCTACAAGGACCTCTTTGGTAAAAATACAGGTTAAAGAACTAACCCTTTGCTGCCCCTTTGTGACACTCTGCTTCAGTTGCCTGAAGCAGCAGTTTTGCTCTGCCTAATAGTAGGCCTCGCCCTTCAAAGATGTAGGCTGCTCTTACATGCACATTTACCAGGGAGGAAGCACCCAAATAAGTGCCTATGAAGTGGACTGCAATGTGAGTGACATGGCTAATACGAGGAAAGTAATACTGTCTGCATTGTTTGTTGACCAAGTCGTTGCTTATAAATAATTCTTTGGGAACCCCAATTGACCAAAACTTCTCTAGAAGCAAGCAATCAGAATGCTTAGCCTCTCTGTTCAAGGTTGTGAATTATCAGTCCTGTGGGTTTGAACACTTTCCCTCAGGTGGTACAAACTAAATAACAGCATCGTGCTTGCTTTCTATGTCTACAAGTCACCAAAGAACTCCTGTGAATATAGTATTTCATAATAGTGGAACAGAAGCCACAGTATGGCAAACATCTCAGAAACAGGAAATGGTATCAAATTAAAACACAACACACAAACACAGCTGAATTGTGGGAAAATAAGGGTAGTTAAAAGGAAATAGTTTTTCACAAAGCACACAGCAAAAGTTAACTTGGACAGCTTTGAACAATTTCATAGAGGATAACCCTGTCTGTGGCGGTTAGCTATAAATTGCCTTCAGGATCAGAAGCAATGTGCTGGCAAATGGGAGCAAGAGGGTAGTGTTGCACCCGTGTTTTGACCTGGGCTACCCATAAGCATCTAGTTGACCTCCTCAACACTTACCTTTTCCCTCTTCAAATGGCCAGCCAACCGATGCTCCATCACCTTAACTGTCCTTCGGTGGTCCGTTCAGCTCTGCCTCCCACTTACCTTAACATTCTATACTCCACTGTGATTGGCTCCCTCCTCTCCCATCCCCTCCGCTCCCCTCCCCTCCCCTCCAAATGCACAAACATGGTCACAAACATGAACCACTGAACCGGGCCAGAATTATCGGATGACTGCTTTGCACAAGTCAAAGTGCCTTCAGCTACACATGGTTGGCCACAGCCAGTTTTCTGCCATAGAAATAAAATAGATAATTGGACTGTAGTCAAGAAGAGTAAAAGTCTAAGGGCGCAATCCTAGCAATTGCACCCTTGATGCTCATAAACCCCCAAACTTGGAGGTTTACAAGCCTCCAATGCAGAGTTGGCAGGGTGGTGGAAGTGATCTCTGTTTCCTTGCAGTTCCTGCTCCACATTTCAGCTTGATGGCTGTTTTCAGCCTTCTGCGGTGCCTCAGAGTGGTGTCAGGATATGCTGTTTCCTGGCAGCCTCAGACTCTTCCACTCCTCCAGAATGCTCTCATTACTGCCTCTCAAAGGTCCTTTTCCTCACCTTGGGGAGGGAGCTGGTGTTAGACCACCTGAGATGAAGTATATCAGCATCTGTGTCACAAAATATATTGAGTTGCATCCAGAAGAAATGGATCTGTATAGGTCTGATAGAAATTCGTGTGAAAAGTTAGCCATGACTTCAGTTTCCCTGATTTCAGAGAGGTCTTTAATTGCCTTGCTCTGGGATGATCTAGATGAGGCTTACTAGCACCCTGAGCTTGCTTCATCCAAATAATTTTATGGAGTTTGTGTGTATTTCTTTTTTTCAGCTTCTATCAGGTTTCCTTATATGCTGGTCAGAGCAGTATTTTAGCAACCACTTTAATCTATTTATAGTTTGATCTCTGTGTTATATTAGTGTGTGCTTAAAAGCTGACTTTTGTTTGAAAGATATCATTCTACTGGAGCTTGTAGAAAAAGGATAGTTTACAATGCTACTCCCTGAACCACTGGCTTCTCCTGCAATAGCACTGCAGCGTAATTCAGAAATGTTTTGTTATTCCCCCCGACCCTGCCTAAGATATTTTTTACCATTGGTGCCATTCATGAATTTAAGCAGCTTTCACAAAAGACTTTAACAGCAGGTTCAATTTCTCAGTACAGCTGTTTACAGAATACAGGTAGTCCCTGTGTTATGAATGTCTGAGTTACAACCAACCCATACTTATGAACAAACTGTCATGAAGCCTTCCTGCCCTGCCCATTTGGAGAGGGAGAACTTTCTGGCATTTCCTTGCTGCAAAGTGGAGGTGCTGGTGAGTTCTGGGGGTGAGAAGACTAGAGACATCTGCAGTTTTTCCACTTTTGTGGGAGCTCCAAACCCCTAACCCCCATGATTGTGGAGGGTCGACTGTAGATGATCCATCTTACATAAAAATCTGACTTCAAGATAAATTTCCATTTTCTCAGGAGTGGAACTCATTCATGACCTGGGGACTGCCTGTATATAATATGGGGCTAAAATTGGCAGCCATGTGTCCAGCTTCCCAACTTTTCCTTAGTGACATTTACAATGCTTTCGCATATGATGACATTGTTTTTCTGTGTTAATGTGAACTTGCCAGTCAAAGCATACAATGGGGTTTAAGTATATTAAACCCTCAGAAGCTTGCACACAGCCTTGATACTTTGAATATGGCTGGCTTCAATGCAGTCGACTGAGTCTCCAGTTGGATGGCCTCAGGAAGAAAGGTGCAGTAATAGAACCAAGAAAGCTAGCATGTGGCCTGCGCTCCTGGCACTCAGAAGCTGGTTTTCTTGAGGTCTCTTCATCAAGGCCTGGCTTGGAACTCTCTCGGACCCTTGGGATCCTGGAAGGAGAGTATGAGCTTTGTATGCAGAAGGTTGCAGGTTTGCTTCTTTCTTTATTCCAGGTTCATACCACCAATAGCTGAAGCTCTCCAGGTAGTCCACAACATTTTAAAATACAAACATAAAATACAATATAATAATCAAAATAGTTAAAACTACAGTATAAAACAGAAATAAAAGCCAGAGTAGGATCCTGCAGCAGTACACAGGTTTAAAATACAATGCAGTCTGAAGCTGAACTTTCTGGGAAAATCCCTGGGAAAGGAAGGGCTTCACCTGGTGCTGGAAATGTAGGTGGCAGGTGAGACTTTCTGAGGAGTTCATTCCATAGCCAGGGGGTCACAACAGAAGAGGCCCTTTTCTTAGTAGCCATCCACCTGAATTCTCTTTGCAGGGGCTCCCGCAGGACTGATGGGGATGATGGAGGGGTATGAGCAGGCCTATATGGGAGGAGAGGCTCCCTCAGGCAACCTGTTCTCACACAGTTTAGGGCTTTGAATGTTACTTCTAGCATGTTGAAGGGGGCCCGGGCCTGGCCATCAACTGGCAGCCAGTGCAGATGGTTAGAGGATTGGACTAACAATGTAATGGTAATGTTTGGTGACAATTTGTGGTGTAATGAACACACGGATCGTGGGGATGCATGCTGTATGTATGCTGATTCTGGTAGAAATGTGGCACATAGCATTCAAATCTGGGCCCTCATTGTTGGTCGTGATTAAAGCACCCAAAGCTAACCAAAGACCAGTGCATAGGTTAACTTGGGGTTGTTAAATCCACAAGCAACCTTCGATTTGGATGTCATCGAAACAACCTACAATGCCACATCCATAAGTCTGTCTATCAGAAGTTTTTATTGATTGTTTTCTTTGGTATATACTCTCAGAATGGTTTACAAATAAGTTACTGTTGGGATGTGGAAAGGCCTTATGGGTGGCCTGCATCCCCCCAAATTGCCACCAATTTTTGACTTAGAGCCAAAACCAGCTTTATTCTAGTGCACTATAGAATAAAGGGAGACAAAAGACAACACTTTCATATTTGAACAGGGGCACAATCCATTTATCAGAACCAACATATTTTTATTTACAGGGGGGTTGCTTGCTGGGAAGAGGATAGGCTAAGCACTGAAAGACACTGAAATAATTATATTACAGCAGAGCAGCCAACATTGCTGGATCCTTGTTCTTCAGCATACCTAGGATAATGACTAATCTGGCCCTGATCCTAGCACTAACTCTCGGGAATCAGTATTCACTGCACAATTTGCATTTCAGCTTCATGAGGATACAAAATTACTACAAATACTGCAACTTACGTCATTCCTAATGCAAATGATCTGATGAATGTAGGGACTGTGATACTAGTGAACTACATCCTTCATCCTACCTTCCACCCTTGCATTGGACTTTTACATCACCACAAGCCCTATCTGGGCTAACTTATGGTCTCATTCCATCTTCCCCATTGATTTAAACCAGCCCATTGCAATCTCTGTTCAGCAGTGCATAACAATGTAATTTATTAGACCTAAAAGTATACTCAATTTTCTAACATTATTTAAAGTCAGCACAGTTAAAAATTTAAAAGAGCAGTCCTATGGCCCCAGGGATCATTTGGGAAGT